TCTCAACATCATCACCCTAAACCCTAAACCCTAAACAAGTAATCATCTATATACATTATTCTAGATCAATGTATATAGAACCAACACCATTCAACGATATTTAACTATCAACAATTCAATCATCAATATACATTATTCCAAATCAATGCATAAAGAACTAACAACATATGTCAACATACAACATGTAAGATTCAACTAATCTACATGTGTTCACCATTTTCTCAACCAAATAACATATTTTAACAAAGCAATTCATGCCTAACACTATTCACCTTGCGCTCAGCATCATTGAGACAATGAGTTTTTTTCCTTGCCCACACCTAATGTCATTCAACTCGTGCTTGATGTGAATGAGATCAAAGAACCCTTGGGACATTCACTTCTGGCATGGTTAAATTGATGCTTGATCCCATTTCAGACAGAGATGATTCTCTCTTAATCATGCCCAATTTCACTCCCTTAGTGCCCGACATCACTCATGTAGACAACTCTATTTTGATCATGTTGGGCTCCACATAATTCGAGGCTTGGTGCCACCAATTTTTAAAACCTTATATACCTTTTCCTTAAAATCAAACTAGACCTTTGTCTAAAGAAACCTCCCAAACACCTAAAAAACTTCTCAAAAATTCTTTGACTCCTAGAGTCTCTTAACAATAATCAACAAATGCTACCACAATTATTGGAAGAAAACAACAATAATTAAAAAGATGTACAATGTTACAATTATTTATTATTAGGAGACAATAGTATATAATATTTGAAATATTATAATATTAAGAGATAATATTTTAAATTTTTATTATAGTATTAATTAAATCTTATATATTATTATATTTATACATAAAATGGATAAAAAAAATATTCATATATACAAAAATACATTTATATTGTACTTAATGTGACATATACTAAGATATACAAAATGAACAGTCTCCAAAATTTTAATAAAAAAACTCTTTTTTTTTAATATGAAAGATTACAAAGATGATCGCAATGAGGATTGAGTCTAGGTTCTCATGCTTCTAACTACTTCAACCCCTCTCTATTTAACCACTAAACTAACCTTAGTAGTTCAATAAAAAAACTCTTTAATCATTTATGATTAATATTTATAATTTTTTTAACTATAAAATATAAATTTAATTGAAAGTAATAACTTTTTAATTAGTCGAAAGATGATTCGGAAGATGTAGCATCTTTCGTACAAATTACACCTGTTTTAATATATTTAATAGATAATTTGCTTAACTATTTGTGTAATCATATATCGTACAACATTACTATTCAACAGTCATGTCCACTTTCACTTTTACGCCCAGGCTCTCGCACGAGACAAAAAAAAATTCACGAGTCTAATGGTTTTTTTTATCCCCAGCGACATAATTGACAGTTGGATCCCTGCAAAAAGACATTTTAATATTATATCTGTTGGGGCAACATTATCTACACGTAAGAAAAAATTGTTTTATAACCACCAATTTCTAAGTACTTAAGGTACAACCAATACTATTATTAAATATTTATACTTAAACGAATTAATTTACATGAACTTACTTGCTTTTTTTATAAAGTATTTTATTAAGTTATACCTATGGTTATTTTGAACACACTCGTGTGAATCGATAACATACTTTTTCAAAAAAAAAAAAATTCTTTCCTTTTTTTTTTAACTATATATAATATTAATATAAAATATTTACCTTTAAAAATAATGATTAATCTTTGTTAAAACCAATAAATATACTTAAAGTAAATATTTTTTCTTTAAATATAATTTATTCTATATTTAAAATCAAAATGTAAATACCTAAATAATTTAATTATGAGATACAAATCGTTATTATTTAATGAATAAATATTTATTTAATAAATAGAGAAAAATATTTAAATGATAAATAAAACCGATATGGTAGGATAAAAATAAAATAAATGAGAAATAAGAAAGTACAAGTTTTACACTTTTTGATTTCACTCTCGCAAGTGAATAGTAATCACAAAAAAGAAATCCACAATCCATTTTTAACTCCTAACATTCAATTATCTTATAATTTTTTTTTTATTTTTCTTATTTGTTCCTTTCCTATTTTTTTTCTTCCAATTTCTCTTTATTAAACGCTGTTATTTTCATTATATTTCTATTCACTTTTATGAACCCTCTTAATTAGGCTTAGGGTCAATCCACGATGGTTTCATACCAATCAATTGGAGGCTGATAAACGATAGTGTTGGGTGCTTTACTCCATTGTTATATTTGATTAGATCATGGGGAGATAGATCGAGGTTGATAAAGATTCACGTAGAAAGAGGAAAAGAGATAACAATTCAACTGAATATATATAACAATTAGTAACCTAATTAAGGTATCGTGTTCTTATATTAGTTTTTTCTTCTATTTTTTTTAATTAATTAACCATAAATTCTAAATTTTTAATAAATTAAACATTTAGTTTTTATAAAATATTAAAGCAACTTTCGTCATTTTTTAAATTTGTGATAAGAAATACAATTTTTTTTTCCTATCTAAAAGACATAAAACTTAAAAGAGGATTAGACTTTTTACATATCAAAGATATTTTTATGATAAATTGTATATTTTGTTCTTAATATGATGGACATTATAACAATTTTAAAAAACATATTTTGTTGATTATAAAAGTTATTATAAAATTTTATTAAAAAAATTAATTCATATTTTTAAAGATTTTTTAAATTCTTGTTTACATCATGTAAAAAAAATATTATTTTTATTAAAGTTACATTTTTTTTATGTGATACATATTTAAATTTGAAATATATATAATAGGCACTCTTATCTATTATATCGTCTTTGACTAACAAAATGCAGAACTTGTCCTGCACTGTTCTCGTGCGAAGCTGAATATATATAATTGCATCGTTGGGTGTATGTCAAGTTGCATGGCTTGAAACTTTATTGAAGAAAATGAATTTGAAAACAGCTAAGCCTATGAATATATGAATTGACAAGTATGCAATTAATTTAGCATATATAGCATCCGGTTGCCATGGAAGAAGCAAAAACTGAGACGACTCAATTTCGATTTTTGAGGCAACAAGTGAGCAAAGAGAATTTGAAGCTGGATTGCAACATTGGAAATCAAAATATATTCACAATGCCACGTAATTTTGAGAGACAGGTTTGGAGTATCGTACGTCTTTAACAAATCTCAATTAAGGAGGTGTTTTAGTGGTTAATTCAGTTTTATCTGATCTATTAATGGGCCTAAGTGTTTGTTAGAGCCCAACTGTTAGTGTTAGGGTAGAGTTGGTGCTAGTTGTTCTACTTTAAATATTTCTAAAGAGTGAGTACGTGAGATATAGTGTTCTTGCTTTATCAAATATAAGTATTATTGCATTATTTAAATAAGTGAGTTACATGAACATATGCTCGTGATTTATTTTAGAAGAAGTACATTAACAATCTATAATTTAGATGTATTTTAATATTATCATAATTATAACCTGTTAACTTCTATTAATAATTAAGTAAGAATAAATAAATGAGAAATCAGGTGCAGATGAAAATATTAAAAAGAGAAATAAAGTTGTTCTGGTATAGAGTCCATGTTAGCCCTAATTAGAAAATAAAAGCTAATATTAAAGAAATAATATTTTATTTAAAAATTAAAGTTGTATTTATTTTCTTGGCCCAATGGGTCCTAGGCAATTGCCTTTTCTACCAACCCTCACGACAAGCCCTGGGACAGTGCTACCACATCTTGGTTCTAAAAGATCCATGAAATTGTTCCACTACCACGCATGAAGAGATAATTAATTCTTTCTATCATCTTTATCTCCACACCAATCAAAATCTCTATATCCCACAATCCCTATATCTTCTATCTACACTGCAAGTCATTTGCAAAAAACAACCCAAAGTCAAGTGTTCCTTTAATGTACCACAGTATCATCTTTCCAACAGTAAGATGATTTTTTTCTTCCTCTTTAAACTCATTTTTATTGTATTTTAATGTATAAAGAAATGAATTATAACAATAAAATAATATAATAATGATGATGAATAATTGATATTTAAAATAAATAATTTAATTTTAACTTAATAGAAAATATTTGTAAAACAAATAAATTTTAAGAATAAGTTATGATATAATTAAAGTTCAAGGTATTTATTTATAAAAATGATAAAATTTAAAATTTAATTAGAATAAATTTAATTTTTATGATATTTATTTATAATTAAAATAGAGTGTAAGAATTAATTTAAATAAAATTAGAATTTATGATGTTTATATATAAAAGAGATAAAATGTCAACTTAAATATATATATTTTTAATTATTTTTAGTACCTGCAAAATGATCAAATTTTGATTATAATTTTTTTAAAAAAAATTATTTGTTTTTCACTCTCATTAAGGTATGATCTTTTTTTTTAAAAAAAAAAAAAACTATACTTGCAAAAAAGATTTGAATATCTAAGTTAGCAAGTATTTAGAGTAATTGAGTGTGTTTTATATATTACATACCTTATTAAGGTATGAGGTAAGTGTATTTATAGGTAAAGAAATGTTGTTATTAAGAATATGATCATTAAATATATTTAAGAGTTTTTATTTTCTTATAATGATCAGATATTACTTTTTATAACAATTATAGCGAGGACTTGACAATATATCTTGATAATTCTAACATCGATAACCGAATACACATGATCTTCAAGCACTTTTGCTATGGGAAATCGATATGTTATCAGGCTCCGAAATCTCTCAGCTACAGAGCTCGATAACAATGGTGATACCGAGTAATAATAATAAGTGTGAAGATGGTGTTGGTACATCAACAAGTCTTTTTATACTTAAAAAAAAAAAAAAGTTATTTCATAATTCATTAGATAATAATAAAAAAAATAGAATTCAAAACAATTATATTTGCAAAATAAAATAGGACGAATTTTTTTAAGCTACTGAAACCGACAGTGGCACTATAACTTGCAAAATATCCGCTAAACAAAATTTAGGCCAAAACTTTAGAACGTGTCAACTTGACGAGCCACCGGAACACAACAAATCATTGTCCTTCTCAGAAAAAGAAAGCTTAACATCTTTCAAGAGAGCTCAGAATATATTCGGCTGCATCAAATTAATTGAACCCCGCTTGACTTTTCTCCTCCCATGCCAATAATCATCGGCAATAGTATATAAGGCACACACAGCCTTTCCCCCTCAATAAACAACAGCACCCGCAACATGGGAACCAAATCCATCATCTTCTTCTTACTCTGCTCTTTCTTCCTCCACCTCGCGGTTACTCAAGAGGTAGCAAAATCCGAAAGCGAAGCACTGGGAGAATCAGAGAAAAGAGAAACCCTCGAAATCATCATAGGCGGTGGAGGCTCCCCTGCTCCCTCTCCGTCTTCCCCTGCATGCCCCCCTCCCCCGCCCAAACCACTCAGCCGCTTGGAGAAAGCGCGTGGCGTGCTTCTCAAGTTCAAGTCACAAATCGAAGACCCCAACTGTTACACGAAGAACTGGAACGAGAACACCGACACGTGTGACTTCAAGGGGATACGATGCGCCACATATCCGGTGGATAAACAGAAAGCAGTCGCTGGACTGGACTTAAACGGCGCACGTGTGAGAGGTCAAAACGGTTGCCCGTTGCCCCTCACGGGTATCTTAGACGGCATAGAAGAGTTAACATTCTTCCACGTCAACTCCAACAACTTCACCGGAGGCGTCCCCCAAAAAATCATTGATTTCAAATATTTCTTCGAGCTGGACCTGAGTAACAACAATGTCACCGGGACGTTCCCCCTGGAAGCGCTCAAGTCCAACCTATTGGTGTTCTTGGACATCAGGTTTAACCGCCTCACCGGCCCAATCCCCTCCCAGCTCTTCAAGAACGACCTCGATGTCATCTTCGTCAACAACAACAAATTCTCCTCCTGCCTCCCTCAGAACTTCGGCTCCACCCCGGCCCGCTACCTCACCTTCGCCCACAACCAACTCACCGGCCCAATTCCCAGGAGCGTGGGCTTCGCGCCCAACCTCACCGAGGTCCTTTTCTTGGGGAACAACTTCGACGGCTGCCTCCCCTTCGAAATCGGGTACCTGAAAAAGGCCGTGGTGTTTGACGTCAGCCAAAACTCCATCACCGGCCCAATCCCCCTCTCCTTCGGCTGCTTGAAGAGCATTCAGTACCTGAACCTGGCGCACAACAAATTCTACGGCGTTGTTCCCGACAACCTTTGCCAGATCCCTTCGCTGCGGAACAACGGGAACCTGTCTTTAGCGGATAATTACTTCAAAGAGATTGGGCCCTCGTGCTGGAGTTTGATAAAGTCCAACGTTTTGGACGTGTCCAAAAACTGCATCCCGGGCCTCCCCAACCAACGCTCGCCCCAAGAATGCCATGACTTTTACTACAAAACCAAGAAGCCATGCCCCAACCCGGAATCATTCTATTACGTCCCTTGTAAATCGTACTGGGGAACACATAGCACGGATCCCCAAGCAACCGCTACACCTTCTGAACCGGTCACTTACAAGACCCTCAAACCGCACCGGTTGAGATTGTGATCGACTGAACTATCCTGAGATAGTCCTTGTGGGGGACTCTATTATGCATGTTTGTATATTTCTCTTTCCTCATTAGCTGTTATTTGTATTTTCTATGCCCATTAATAAGCACCGTCGTGGAATGGGCCATCTTTGACTGTTATAAGTTTGGTATTACTCAAGTGTAATTTCCTTAAGTTGTCGAATAAATTTGGTACCACATTGGATGAGGAGTTCTCCGCCTTCAAATGGAATTTTGTTTGTTTCGGAATGAACACGTGATGGATGAGCTTTTGTAGAAACAAACAAAATAGCTTCCATGTTATGTCTGTATATTGCCTTATGTTTCTTCGTTGCGAGTCCTTCCCCATTTCTTTTCTCTCAACATCAGTTTCTTTGGGTGAAATGTCTACATCATGTTGCCTTTTATAAAGGAAACATATAATGTAGTAATGTATTGAAAAAGATAAGGGTTTTGTTCGGACTTTAATTTCAGGCGTTTACCTGTTAGCTAGGCCTTAATTTATACATTGCAGGCAAGTTTAAGCTAAAATATGGGGAATTATCACGTAACTTAATGTATTAATTTGGGCTTAAGTAAGTGCAATGTTTGTTTAGTAATTTTAATTTTCTTGATGTACAAGAATCTCTTTCATTGTATAATATGCCATAAAAGTCTCTGTGATTTCTTGTTTGCTAGCCAGAGGCAAATAATTAGTGCCAAAGAGAAACGTCATCGTACCTAGTAGTTAGCTTATAAAAATTCAAAATTCCCAGCTGCTTCCGTCCAGATTTCTTTTAGCCTCTTCTTATTTTTTTAATTTTTGTTAGTATTATACTATTTTATTTTTGTTAGGGTCAAGTCATCAAGTTTTTTGTTTTTTGTTTTTTTTTTCGAAAAAACTTTCATGCAATTTCTTGGATGCTTTTAGTGTTGCGATTTAATTAAGATTAAAGTTTCACTTTGATAATTTACATAATAGATATTTACAATGTTGGTATTGCTTTTTAAAATGGAATTCCATATTTTTATAATCACATTTTAAGTAACTAAAAATTTGTATATAATTGTTTTTTTCTAAAATATGATAACTAGGTTGATCAATGAATGAGTGGGTTTGGTCGGAATCCAAAAAAAATGTTTAATCTAAAACACATTGAACGCAATAGATACTTGAGCTATTTTTTATTGTAAAACTCTTTGATTTAATTAGTTCAAGTTTAGAAGGATTGCGGGTAACTTTGGGTGGGTTCACTAGATTTTGGAGAGAGAGAAAATAATTCTTGATAATTTTTGAAATGTATGTGGTTGATGTGCTCAAGTTTAATTGACTATCAATAAGTTTGATCTGCGTGATATTAGACTTAATCTCCTTAAATAAGGTTTTGAGTTTGAATCTTGTGTATAAAAAAATGTGATAGGGAGGGTAGAATCTACTAAAGGTGGCTAATCAGGTTTTTCGATGAAGATGAGTCATTTATGAAGTCACTAAATACTCCGTAGTAATAACATAATACCACACAAAAAAAGGTTAATTGCTAATTTAGGACAAGAATTATGGATTAAGATTTGAGTTTTCTTAAGTTTGATTAATGCTTTAGTGTGACCAAGACGTCTTGAAAGATGGATAAATACATCCAAAAGTTACTTTAACACGAGAGTATTTAAGAATTCTACCAAAGTGAGATATATTTTTAATGCTTACCCAACACACATCGATTGATGATATTTATATGGGTTATATAGATAACTTGAATTTTCTTATTTAAGGCTTGAAACCTCTTAAGAACAATGATAATTTTGTGTTAGTTTAACTGTAAGGTAACTTTGCAACCCTCCAACCCACTTGTTGTGGATTTTCGTCAGTTCAATATATGTATATTTTATAATTTATCTTCTTTCTAAGTACTTATACTTATTTTATATGGAATAAAAGTTTATTATTTTAATCACATATGTTTTTTCACTAGAACATTTTCATGCACATGAAATCAAAGTATATGTTTTAATCATATATGTTTTGTTTTAAGTGGATTGAAGGTTGATCAATCTACTAATCCACCATTTTTAACCACCAACCTTCCCTAAAACTCCTTTGGCAATATAACTTATTAACCCACCAACTTGATGTTAAATAGGGTAGGTTACTTTCTAACTTGGGCCAACCTCACTTAAGGTAAGTTTTAATTGGTCGAGACGGGTTAACCCACATTGTCACCCTACTATGAGTTGGACCATAAGTCTAACTTGAAACAACTCTATTATAAAATATAAAATTTCAATACAGATTATTCATGAGAGAAATGTTAGCAATATTTTTTTTTAACATCCACTTTATTTTATTGGATAAAATTTATAAAACAAAAATACAAAATTGTTTTTGTCTCACTCATTTAATGAATTGTTTTTCTTCTTCGGAAGGTTACGTTTTTCTTCTTCGGAGGGTTGCGTTTTTCTTTTATGAGGTAGCATCTTCTATCAAGTTTGTGTTTTTTGGGATGTTTTTTTCGTAATAATGTTTGTGTTGCATTTCGCGCGAGTTTTTGAAGCTGGAGAAGGAAGTGACCAAGTCCGGGTTTGGAGACGCACTCCTGGGTCTATCAAGCAGAACGGCCCGTTCTGCTTGCACTCAATTTTTTTTA